CAAATAATATTTCTTAAAATTTTTTTATTGGAGATCATATTCATTTCGAAATATTAATTTCAAATTTTCAACTAACCATAAGATGACCCATATTTTTAAAAAAAAATTAATTTTGATGTTTTCGCCATAATTATCAATTATTGACTTAGCTATTGATTAGATTCAATATTTGATCATATTTAGTTTTAAGGGATGTACCGATATTTTTACCGGATCGGGCCGATATTTCACCCATTTTAAAATATCGGCTATCGGCCATATTATAAAATTTTCTGATCCGATATAAAATGGCGACTTTAACAAAAATAAAATATTATAGCATTTTAAAAAAAAGTTATATCTAAAAACCATTTATTTTTATAAATAAAATCGAAATCCATTTTTATGTTTAATTTTTTTTAATAGTAATAATTAGTTAATAAACATTCTGCCATATTGTTATTTTTTTGCATTCTGTTTATAAAAGTGTGCAATAATCTCTTTAGAATCTGTATTTAGTGAAGCTAGTGATATAGTCCCGATCACCGCAGACTGACCTCTGATAAATTGGAAATTTTGGTATTTCTAAAAAGAAATCTTCGACATATTAATTTTAAATATTAATTTAAATATTTATTTCAAATTTAATAATATATTTATTACTTATTAATGTTATTACTTATTATATAAATAAGTGATTTTTCAATAAAAATATTTTATATACTTTTAGAATTACAATTGAATTGAATATAAACTATAACTGATCATTATAATATATTTAAATGACATGTTATGGTCTAGTTAAATTATAGATGTTATACTAATAAAAAGTATATAAAAAATTAAAACCATTGGTATCTTTACAGAATACAAAATTAGATATGATATCGGATCGGTAATTGGCCAATATCAATTTAATATTGGAAATAGAGGTGGGCGCGGGCCGTGAAATTACGCGTGACCCATCGTGTCACGGTGGGTCACGGCGTGAGTGTAAATAAATTTTAAATTCCAAGGCGTGACGGGCCTTCCCAAAATTTTTCCCGGGCGTGATCGGGCGTGAACATAAATTTCCCGTGAATCACGGAAATTTTAATTTTTAAAATTGTTTTTTTATAAATATAAATTTGTAATTTTATAATTATAAATTTGCAATTTTATAATTATATTATGTATTTTCTTATTTAATTTAGTTCTTTTTTAAAAAAGAATAATTTATGAAAAGTAAAAATCTTCCGCATTTTATTAACAACATCCGATATCATTTCGTTAGTTCTATTTTCTTTTTATGTATAGGTGTTTTTTATCGCGAGACTTTATGCTAAATTTTGCTTAAACTTTTTACAGAAAAGTCAGTTATATTTTATTTGTAAAGATCTTTAATCTTTAAATGCAACAGAAAGTGAAGATTTACAAGCTAGGCAAGAAATAAATGTTGGTGTTACATATGGATAACAAAAATTAAAAGTTGTGAACCGGAAAACTCTCCCATGAAATAAAATTTAAGATAAAAAGCATGATCAATAATAATTACTTGTCGATAATCACAGATATTTGGATGGATGACTATAAAAACCTAAGTTTTTTAACCATTATAGGACATATTATCATTAAGAATTTTAATTAAAAACATTTGTTTTGGCCACAAAGGCAATGGATGAAAAAAAGGTCAAAATTATAAGTGTAATCAATTCAATTTTAGGAGAATATACAGAAGTAGAAAATTACTTAAATAAATGTATAGTTGTGAGTGATTACGGAGCAAATCTTATAAGTGCATTCAGTGATGACGAAACGCTAGCATGTATATGCCATATACTAAATAATATTATGCATTATATTTTTGACAATTGTTTAACTGAAATAGCCTTAAATATAAATGGTGTAAAAAAATAGTACAATATTTCGAACAATCTACAGCTAATAGCAAACTAAGCCACACCCTTAAACAAGATGTAATAACGTGAATAACGAGATGGAACTGTGTATATATCATGATACAGAGTTTCTTAAAATCATATTTTGAAATACAGGTGTACTTGTTTAGCAAGCAAGAATTAAATATATTAGCCACAATTGATATCAGTATCATACGCGAGTTAGATAAATTTTTATCAATATTTATAAGAATGCTCGGATAATCTGAGAGCAGATTCCCGTCCCACAATAAATGAAATTTGTCTATGGAAACAAAAATTAATAAAATTTTGTTAACTTCTTGAACGTGATGCAATAATAATTAAAAACTTAAAATACAGAACAAGATTTCTTTTAGAAGATTATTATGCAGCCACTACATAAGGTAGGCTTAATTCAAGATCCGAATTTCAAAAGACATAAGTTTTTAATAAAAGAAGAAAACGATATATATAAAACAATCTTAAAAATGCTAAATGATATAAAATTAGATGATATGCATAAGTCAATGCCAACTATGATTTATAACTTTCCTAACTTATCCTAAACTCATAAAAAACCGTATATTCTAAATGATCAATACCAACTATCACTTTCCTAATTCATCCTACACTCAAAAAAGACCGTATATTCTAAATAAAAAATTTAGAGAATTTCTAATGATTCTGATCAACATCAACGATGGAAGCTGTGAGGATGAACTTAAAATATTCATATAAGATAAATAATACAACAACATTTTGAAGTTTTGGAAGCAGAAATATTCATTTCCTTTTTTGAGAAAATTAGCGAGTAATTTTGTCAGCCCCGACAAGTTCGGCTTCTAGTGAAAGGTTATTTTCTGTAGCCAATCTCTTATTAGAGGAAAGGCGTAACAATTGAAATAAAAAAAATGGACATTCTACTTTTTCTAAATAAATTATGATTTATAGATTGTATTTATTTTTTGTTATTAATATGGATTATGAAATTAGAGAAATAAATAGAATGAATTCAAAAAAGTGTAAAATTATAGCAATAGTTTTGAAAAATTTAAAACACCGTGAATTTTCGGGCGTGACGGGCGTGAATCAAAATATTGCTTGTCGTGAGCGGGTGGGTCGGGTCGAAATTTTTTTAGTTATAAGCATGAATGGGCGTGATATTTTTTTTATTGCCACCGTAAGCGGGAGGGCGTGAATGAAAAATTAGGCCCGCACCCACCTCTAATTGGAAATATTTGATCGGATCGGCCTCTAAAAAGTATCGGTACACCCCTAGTTTTAAATTAAAAACTAAGTATATAACATCAGTAAAAAGCAAAAAGATACTTTTTTGGACCTTTAACCAATTATCTCAGCTAATATGGTTGCTAATGTGCTAAAATTTTGTTTATGATCTAATGTGAACATATATAACCAGTCTACAACTTTTTATCGAAATTGAAAGGGGTCGGCCAAAAGTCCTAATTTTCTTGTTCATTTGACATGGAATGACCCAAAAGCTAGGAGATTAATTTTCATCAAAATTAAGAGGCAGGTTGAAATCCATATTTTTTGAGATAGTATGACATATATTTATCAGTAATTTCTGAAGCCATTTAATTTAGCTATGAAGAAGGCCTCATATGTATAAACACTCCCTCAATTTCAACTACATATACTAGCATTTTTGAACAAGTTCAGCGTTATAATAGTTTTTCTTAATGCTGTTTTAGCCTCTTTAGCTAAACTGGATAGATATTATAATTTCACTAAGGGTCATTCCATGTCATATAGATCACGATTCGGCCGACCCCTTTTAAAATTGTTAAAAATTTCTGGAAGTATTTAAATGGGTAATAAAATAAGAAAGCTGTTTATTTTAGCTCGCTATCACACCTGATTCTCGAGATAGTGGAGCTCATAGGTACAAAAAAGAGCCAATTTGGAATCTTTAAAATTTTAAAAATATGTTATTAGATTTGAATATAGAAACTGAAAACCAAGAGGAAATATCAAGTTTATTTGACAAAGTTAGCAGATAAACATTATATAATTAGCACAAATTATAGTTTCACTTTAAATGACTTACAATATGAATGCTAATTATTCTATGAATAATTTTGTCAAATGGCTCAATTTTTAAAAATGGCTAATCCAATATTTTAGACAAAAAAAATTACACAAACTTGTTAAAAGATATCCAAACCATTCAACTATCTATGAGCAAAATATCCAGGCTTGTGTAGCCATTTTTAAAATCCAGCCATTTAACAACATTATCTATGAAGATGCCATGCACAAGATATGAATTTTCTAAATTTTGGAGAGAAAGTAGGATTGAACTTCCAAATCTTTCCATGTAAAGAGACAGTTATATATTTCTATTGTTTTTATATTTTGCTATATTTTGTTTTAAATAAGTTTCAAAATAAATGCGTTTTTTTTGTTGGTATTGGTTTTTGGTACAATACTTTTTATCTTTCACATCTTGGTAGTTAGGGGAAGGGGGGGGGGGGGGGTGAATCTTCATTTTAAAAAAGAGGAATTATATTAGTAAATTTTTGAGGAATGGTTGCCTTGTCTTTTTCAAAAATGGGATACTTCATGCTTTTCTTCAATTTAATTATACAATTAAGTGTTATTTAATTACCAATTTTCTTTTAATTTAAATTAGTACCAATATAAACCAAGAAAATCTAATATCAATAAAAGAAATAGAATAGAATGTTTATATCAATACCAGAAGCTTGTAATTATTTTTTTCATAAGTAAAATAATTCCATATAAATATATCAAAATTTTAAAAAAAGTGTGGGAAATATTGGCAAAATGTTCAGAATAAGTTATAAATGGTATATTTCTGAAAATCTTTTTAGAATTAAGTGGAAAGAACCCTATCTCATCTCTTATAAATTTTTGAAATGATTATAATATTATAATTAACGAATTGGTAGATTCTTAAGATGTTAATAATTGGTACTAATCCAATTAGAATGTGATTAGATTATTTTATCTATTAAAAAAACAATAATAAGAATAAATATAATTATATCCTTAAGTATTATTTGAAAGTATAGCTTTCAAAAAAATATCATTTATAAAAATATATTTTCCTAAAAAAATTGTTTCTATTTTCATTACCCATTCTTGACCACCTGAAAAGGGTTTAGAATAAGTATTTATTCTTTCACCCAGCCTTGATTGTACTATAATTTGAATTGTTTTATAAGCCAAATATTTATAAATCCTCTCAAGATCCTTTTTATCAATCTGCTGCTTTTCTGACATTTCAACAAAAGATGAATGAGTAAAATAATAGACCTCTCTTTAAGAAATTATTAATATATGCTAAACCATGGCCAGTAAAAAGGCCTTTATGCTGATTTTGCTTATACTATAATATTATATTTATATAAATATTTTATCATTTGACTTTAAAATGATCTATATATCTCTACTTTACAGGTATAAATAATATGTTAAATTAAAAAAAGTTAAATATAATAATATAAAGTAAAGTTATTAATAAAATAAGATTACGGTATTATATAATACCTAAGTCTACGCTTTTAAATAAGTAAAATTATAATATTTAATTGAATATATCAAATTTATAAATGCTTACTTTTGGAGTTAGTAAATTTATTGAAAATTTTGGTTCTCATTCTTAGTAGCTAAAACAAAATTGCTAAAAATTGGGAATCCCCTTAAATCTCCTAAAAAAAATTAAAGTAAATTTAAAATTAATCTTAATTTATGTTAGAAAAGTAAACACGTGTATTTAAATTGAATATTTAAAAAAATAACTATGGAAAAAATATCATCTATTCCCTATTTTATTCCCAAAAGCATTTGCTCTATTTTTAGTAATTTTTTTATAAACCCAATTAAATACAAGTATTTCCTTTTCTAGAATCTATTAATAATACTTCAAATTTAGCTTAAAAATTTTCTAGGAGATATAAAAAGATCCCAATTTTTAGCGATTTAGACCTATCTCAAAATATTTGATTTATCATTTTGAAACAAAACATTATTTTTAAACATAATATAAATTTCTTTTATTTTATTTTTGTAAAGCGGATTAAAAAAAAATATAAGTTTTACAATTTCCCAAATAACTTAATATTTGTTTCATTATTCAAATTAAATATTTAAAAATGGATATAACTTAAAATTATTTTACATTAGCTCATTGTATTATATTTTTAAAATAGCTAGTGTCACAAAAATAACATGGCAGGATTTTTTTTTTAAACTAAGGGTAAAATATAATTATAAAACTATTGATAAAATTAATTAAATCATAAATTAAATAAAAAAATTAAAGCGCAATGCAAACAGTGGAATATTATATGTCGTAGATATACAGTATTTCTAATTTTATCAATTATCATATGACAATCAAATAATTTTTACCAATATAGTGAATTATATATTTTACAGAAAACTATAAAATATTGATAAGGACTCAGAAAATATTTTTTAAATACATTGTGAGATGAATAATATTTTTTATTTAAAATAAATAGATGGCGTTAAATAATTGAATGCAAATTGTTGCTATATTTATTATCAAGAGCATTGATTTATAAATTTTGTTAAAATATTAACTATAATATATTCTCTAACTGTCAAATATGTGTGTAAAAGTGCAATTTTACTAGTAATTTGTAACCATTTTAAATACTTATTTAACATTACAATTATGAACTAATTTTTATATTACCTATAATTACTATTTAAATATGGTTTACAATATTTAAATAATAAATTACTAGCGACAATGTTTTAATAAAATTATACCTACCTAAATAAGTTAAAACATTGAAGTTCATATACATAAAGTTGAATTTTTTTTAACGTGTTTAGCTAATGACAAAGCCACATTTGTTAGCAATCTGGCTAAAGACGTTTTTGCAAAACTTCAATCGATATGTTCCGAAATCAATTAAAAAATTTATTTAGGCTCATACTAGAACCTGCTAAAGCTAGAAATAAAAAGATTAGCGGCTCTACGACTGGAATACAAAATGGAAGTAAAAGTTAGTTATAATTGTACGATTATTAGTATTTGCCAACTTGGAATATAACTTCGTTGGATATGACATATAGAAAAAAAAATTGAGGTAGCAAGCTCATCAAAAGATTAAGTGTAAAGATAAGAGATTTAATTACTCTCGATGAAATTATTAAAGTATGTAAAGAATCGAAGAAATTAAATATTGAACTAATAGAACAAAAATTAATTATTAATATGAATTGAATTTGTTAGTCTATTCTAAGATTTATTATATTAAATTACCTAGCTACCAATGACATATAATAATACCTAGACTGACAATTCATTCATAAAAAGCATGTATCAATTGAAATCAGCTGGAGACGCCATTAACACCATGATGAGTACATCGATGATAATTTATTTGTCTTAGAACCAATTCTTCATTAGTAATACCATGGTTATATTTATAATATTTATTTTACCCTCTAGTTCTTAATATCAAGAGTCCATTATTTATTTTAATTTTATATTTAATTAGCTACTGATACAATTTTATTAATCAAACATTATGTTTTATCAAAAGTTTTTTATTTTGTTAATAATTAATATTTACATTAATTATAATAATATAGTCATACCTTATAAAATAAGTTTAAGCTCTTTGCTTGTAATATGCAGATTAGCAATATAAGCAATTTTTATTCAAGTTTATTATCAATCTTATTTACTTTATGCAATATATATCTAAACTGAAGGGTGTAATTAAACTGAGAATTAACATGTAAACTGAGAATTAACAGGTAAACTGAGAATTAACAGGTAAAATTTATTTTAGGCCTATCAATTATATTTTAAAAACTTTAAAAAAAAGGTTTTTATTATAAAAATTAAATTTATCCAAAATTAAAATTATTTAAATATATAAATTAGAAAAGAAAAGATATTGTAGTTTATAAATTTATAATATGTATAACAAATCTATTATATAGAAAATAAAACACCCATAATATTTTATATATCATAAAATAAATTCCGCTAGATAGCGTAAATTATTAAAATGTTAGTTTTTAATTAAAAATAATATGAATTAGGAGCATAATTCTTCGCTCTGGATTAATTGATTTGGTACCAACTTATATTAACATAAAATGAAAAAAATTTTAAGGTTCCATCATTATTTTTGGAGTTATGATGTGGATTCTCAGTTTAGTCAATTTTTTAATTTTTTTTTAGATTTTTGGGATTTTAAAAATATTTTATTTTTTTTCGACTCATTTGGTGTAAACTAACTTATATTAACATAAAATGAAAAAATTTTTGTTTCCATCATTATTTATGGAGTTATGATGGATTCTCAGTTTAGTCAATTTTTTTTTAGATTTTTGGGATTTTAAAAATATTTTATTCTTTTGACTCATTTGGTGTAAACTAACTTATATTAACATAAAATGAAAAAATTTTTAAGTTTCCATCATTATTTTTAGAGTTATGATGTGGATTCTCAGTATAGTCAATTTTTTAATTTTTTTTTAGATTTTTGGGATTTTAAAAATATTTTATTTTTTTGACTCATTTAGTGTAAATTAACTTATATAAACATAAAATGAAAAATTTTTAAGTTTCCATCATTAATTTTGGAGTTATGATGTAGATTCTCAGTTTAGTCAATTTTTTAAATTTTTTTTAGATTTTTGGGATTTTAAAAATATTTTATTTTTTTGACTCATTTGGTGTAAACTAACTTATATTAACATAAAATGAAAAAATTTTAAGTTTCCATCATTAATTTTGGAGTTATGATGTTGATTCTAAGTTTAGTCAATTTTTTAATTTTTTTTTAGATTTTAAAAATATTTTATTTTTTTTGAGTCAAAAAAATAAAATATTTTTAAAATACCAAAAATCTATAAAAAAATTAAAAAATTGACTAAACTGAGAATCCACATCATAACTCCAAAAATAATGATGGAAACTTAAAAATTTTTTCATTTTATGTTTATATAAGTTAGTTTACAAATGAGTCAAAAAAATAAAATATTTTTAAAATCCCAAAAATCTAAAAAAAAATTAAAAAATTGACTAAACTGAGAATCCACATCATAACTCCAAAATTAATGATGGAAACTTAAAGATTTTTTCATTTTATGTTTATATAAGTTAGTTTACACCAAATGAGTCAAAAAAAATAAAATATTTTAAAATACCAAAAATCTAAAAAAAAATTAAAAAAATGACTAAACTGAGAATCCACATTATAACTTCAAAAATAATGATGGAAACTTAAAAATTTTTTCATTTTATGTTTATATAAGTTAATTTACACCAAATGAGTCAAAAAAATTAAATATTTTTAAAATCCCAAAAATCTAAAAAAAAATTAAAAAATTGACTAAACTGAGAATCCACATCATAACTTCAAAATTAATGATGGAAACTTAAAAAATTTTTCATTTTATGTTTATATAAGTTAGTTTACACTAAATGAGTCAAAAAAAATAAAATATTTTTAAAATCCCAAAAATCTAAAAAAAAATTAAAAAATTGACTAAACTGAAATCCATATCATAACTCCAAAAATAATGATGGAAACTTAAAAAATTTTTCATTTTATGTTAATATAAGTTAGTTTACACCAAATGAGTCAAAAAAATAAAATATTTTTAAAATCCCAAAAATCTAAAAAAAAATTAAAAATTGACTAAACTGAGAATCCACATCATAACTCCAAAAATAATGATGGAAACTTAAAAATTTTTTCATTTTATGTTAATATAAGTTAGTTTATACCAAATGAGTCAAAAAAAAAATATTTTTATAATCCCAAAAATCTAAAAAAAAATTAAAAAATTGACTAAACTGAGAATCCACATCATAACTCCAAAATTAATGATGGAAACTTAAAAATTTTTTCATTTTATGTTAATATAAGTTAGTTTACACCAAATGAGTCAAAAAAATAAAATATTTTTAAAATACCAAAAATCTAAAAAAAAATTAAAAAATTGACTAAACTGAGAATCCACATCATAACTCCAAAAATAATGATGAAAACTTAAAAATTTTTTCATTTTATGTTAATATAAGTTAGTTTATACCAAATGAGTCAAAAAAATAAAATATTTTTAAATCTAAAAAATCTAAAAAAAAATTAAAAAATTTACTAAACTGAGAATCCACATCATAATTCCAAAAATAATGATGTAAACTTAAAAATTTTTTCATTTTATGTTAATATAAGTTAGTTTATACCAAATGAGTCAAAAAAAAAAATATTTTTATAATCCCAAAAATCTAAAAAAAATTAAAAAATTGACTAAACTGAGAATCCACATCATAACTCCAAAATTAATGATGGAAACTTAAAAATTTTTTCATTTTATGTTAATATAAGTTAGTTTATACCAAATGAGTCAAAAAAATAAAATATTTTTATAATCCCAAAAATCTAAAAAAAAATTAAAAAATTGACTAAACTGAGAATCCACATCATAACTCCAAAATTAATGATGGAAACTTAAAAATTTTTTCATTTTATGTTAATATAAGTTAGTTTACACCAAATGAGTCAAAAAAATAAAATATTTTTAAAATCCCAAAAATCTAAAAAAAAATTAAAAAAATGACTAAACTGAGAATCCACATTATAACTCCAAAAATAATGATGGAAACTTAAAAATTTTTTCATTTTATGTTAATATAAGTTAGTTTACACCAAATGAGTCAAAAAAAATAAAATATTTTTAAAATCCCAAAATTCTAAAAAAAAATTAAAAAATTGACTAAACTGAAATCCACATCATAACTCCAAAAATAATGATGGAAACTTAAAAATTTTTTCATTTTATGTTAATATAAGTTAGTTTACACCAAATGAGTCAAAAAAATAAAATATTTTTAAAATCCCAAAAATCTAAAAAAAAATTAAAAAATTGACTAAACTGAGAATCCACATCATAACTCCAAAAATAATGATGGAAACTTAAAAAATTTTTCATTTTATGTTAATATAAGTTAGTTTACACCAAATGAGTCAAAAAAATAAAATATTTTTAAAATCACAAAAATCTAAAAAAAAATTAAAAAATTGACTAAACTGAGAATCCACATCATAACTCCAAAAATAATGATGTAAACTTAAAAATTTTTCCATTTTATGTTTATATAAGTTAGTTTACCCCAAATGAATCAAAAAAATAAAATATTTTTAAAATCCCAAAAATCTAAAAAAAAATTAAAAAATTGACTAAACTGAGAATCCACATCATAACTCCAAAAATAATGATGGAAACTTAAAAATTTTTTCATTTTATGTTAATATAAGTTAGTTTACACCAAATGAGTCAAAAAAAATAAAATATTTTTAAAATCTAAAAAAAAATTAAAAAATTGACTGAACTGAGAATCCACATCATAACTCCAAAATTAATGATGGAAACTTAAAAAATTTTTCATTTTATGTTAATATAAGTTAGTTTACACCAAATGAGTCAAAAAAAATAAATTATTTTTAAAATCCCAAAAATCTAAAAAAAAATTAAAAAATTGACGTAACTGAGAATCCACATCATAACTCCAAAAATAATGATGGAAACTTAAAAAATTTTTCATTTTATGTTAATATAAGTTAGTTTACACCAAATGAGTCAAAAAAATAAAATATTTTTAAAATCCCAAAAATCTAAAAAAATTTAAAAAATTGACTAAACTGAGAATCTACATCATAACTCCAAAATTAATGATGGAAACTTAAAAATTTTTCATTTTATGTTTATATAAGTTAATTTACACCAAATGAGTCAAAAAAATAAAATATTTTTAAAATCCCAAAAATCTAAAAAAAAATTAAAAAATTGACTAAACTGAGAATCCACATCATAACTCCAACATTAATGATGGAAACTTAAAAATTTTTTCATTTTATGTTAATATAAGTTAGTTTACACCAAATGAGTCAAAAAAATAAAATATTTTTAAAATCACAAAAATCTAAAAAAAAATTAAAAAATTGACTAAACTGAGAATCTACATCATAACTCCAAAATTAATGATGGAAACTTAAAAATTTTTTCATTTTATGTTAATATAGGTTAGTTTACACCAAATGAGTCAAAAAAATAAAATATTTTTAAAATCCCAAAAATCTAAAAAAAAATTAAAAAATTGACTAAACTGAGAATCCACATCATAACTCCAAAAATAATGATGGAAACTTAAAAATTATTTCATTTTATGTTAATATAAGTTAGTTTACACCAAATGAGTCAAAAAAAATAAAATATTTTTAAAATCTAAAAAAAAATTAAAAAATTGACTAAACTTAGAATCAACATCATAACTCCAAAATTAATGATGGAAACTTAAAATTTTTTCATTTTATGTTAATATAAGTTAGTTTACACCAAATGAGTCAAAAAAATAAAATATTTTTAAAATCCCAAAAATCTAAAAAAAATTTAAAAAATTGACTAAACTGAGAATCTACATCATAACTCCAAAATTAATGATGGAAACTTAAAAATTTTTCATTTTATGTTTATATAAGTTAATTTACACTAAATGAGTCAAAAAAATAAAATATTTTTAAAATCCCAAAAATCTAAAAAAAAATTAAAAAATTGACTATACTGAGAATCCACATCATAACTCTAAAAATAATGATGGAAACTTAAAAATTTTTTCATTTTATGTTAATATAAGTTAGTTTACACCAAATGAGTCAAAAGAATAAAATATTTTTAAAATCCCAAAAATCTAAAAAAAAATTGACTAAACTGAGAATCCATCATAACTCCATAAATAATGATGGAAACAAAAATTTTTTCATTTTATGTTAATATAAGTTAGTTTACACCAAATGAGTCGAAAAAAAATAAAATATTTTTAAAATCCCAAAAATCTAAAAAAAAATTAAAAAATTGACTAAACTGAGAATCCACATCATAACTCCAAAAATAATGATGGAACCTTAAAATTTTTTTCATTTTATGTTAATATAAGTTGGTACCAAATCAATTATACCAGAGCGAAGAATTATGCTCCTATAATTCATATTATTTTTAATTAAAAACAAAAATTTTAATAAATTACGTCATCTAGCGGAATTTTATTTGTGATATACAAAATATATTATTGGTGTTATATTTTCTATATAATAGATCTGTTCTATACATATAATAAATTTATGGACTACAATATCTTCTATTTATATATTTAAATAATTTTAATTTTGGATAGATTTGATTTTTACTTTAAAAACATTTTATTTATATATTTAAAAATAACTGATAGGCAATAAAACAAAAATAAATTTTACCTGTCAATTCTCAGTTTACCTGTCAATTCTCAGTTTAGTTACACCGAAACTTGAAGATTCCATATAAGAAAAAGAATATCCAATATTGTAATACTCATACTAAATTAAAATATTAGCTCAAATTTTAAAATATCAAAAAATTTATAGGCTACCATAAAAATTTTTTCAAATGGTCAACCTAGTTTATAATTTTCTATAAAATAGGGAATAAAATTATATAAAATTATAAAAATAGTAAAATATTTTTATTGATAATTATAATTCCAAACTTTATTATTCATATATAATAATAGCCTATTTATATATATTATAACTATAAAATAAATAAATATATTTTTAAATATTTAGAGATATTTTAATAAAAAATTTAAGTAGAGGAGGTAGGAGTGGAATTTTCAAGTAATCTCTATAATAATTATTTTATAATAACTTTTTTTTTCATTATAAAGATATCCAATATAATTATATGTTTATATAAATTAAAAACTTGTTCCAAATTTTTTATCTATCTGTCTGACCCAGTGGTGTAGCTACGGGGGTGGTTTTCGGGTTTGGACCCCTCCCAGAGCAAAATTTTTTTAGATTATACGTTCCAAAGACTTAAAAGTGATTTTATATGAATTATATTTTTCTGGTTTTGATGTTTGTGGAAGGATATTTTATTACTAATTAAATTATTCTGGATAGTATTATTATAAAGTCATTGAGAATAATCTAATAAATTATAATAACATATTATTGATGCATTTAAAAAATATATTTATTATATATTATCGAAGATATGGTTATGATTTGTAAGATAAACCCGGCCAAAGGCCAGGCAAAAGGGCCGAAGGCCCATTAAAGGGGGTCTGGGGGTGAAGCCACCCAGCTTTTATATGTATGGACCCCCTCTAAGGAAAATTCCTAGCTACTCCACTGGTCTGACCCATACTATATATTTTTATCTAATTGGCCACATATCCAAAATTTTTTATTTATTAATTGACCAACCTGGCCCAGTTTATTATAATTTTTGCTTATCATGGCTTGGATAATTTTAATTTAATCTAAAATTTTGCCTAATAGGATCTTCTAAAGACTAAAGGTTTTTGATAGTGAAGATACTTTATACATACTAACTTCCAGAAAAAAAGATTTAAAATTTATACATTTTGAATCTTCATAGATTTTACTTCATATGTATACATTTTTGAAAATTATTAAAAAATTTATTTATGAACATTTCAACTTCTTTTAGATCTGATTATATATTGTAAAGCTTATTTGATAAAAATTTTCATAAATTGTCTATATCTTCAATTCATAATTACAGATAATAATTCTCTTTTTTAATTTAAAGATAGATAGCTATGAGTCGCTGTACATCATGCAACAATAATAGCTATACAAGCTTAACCTCTAAAAAAAAATTCTTTTCATAGGTTATTTCTTTTAATTAATTTTACTTATTATTTTATAATATTCTTTTTTTATTTTAAGACATTAATATTATTTTTTTTAAGATTCCCTATTAAGAATAAAATTTTGATATCAAAAATAAGATAAATTTTATTCCAACCAAATACACCTCTGTGGAGCCCATTTTTCAGAAGAATGTTTTCTTCCCTCAGTTACAGGATATGCTATTTTGAAGGAAGGATCTGTACCATCCATTTTTAATTCCAGACCCTTTCAGGATATATAATATATTTATTTTAAATTAATATTTTTTTAAGATAACAAATATCCCATTAAATAGAAATAAAATTCTTAGAATTTGTAACTTTATAGTAAAAAATGATCATACTTATGCTGCTAATAGTTACTCTTCAACTAAAAGGGTAAAATATTATTACTTTATAAAAGATCAATAAAAATATTATTTTTAATATTTAAGAGAAAATTAGATATCCTTAATAATACTCTAGAAGCTGAAGGCTTAGAAGAGCCTGTTAGAGATAATAGCCCAGTGAGCCTTATTTATTAAAATACTTTATTTTCATCTTTGAATATTTTAACTTTATGTGTATCAATATATAATTTTTATTATGCAAAAATATTTTATTTAAGAATACATCTGCCAGCTATCAAAATACTCTTGAGGATGAGTGTTTAAAGAAATCGGAAAGAGATGTAAACCATGTAAGTCTTTATTAAAATATTGATGTAATTTATTTATTTAATAAATTTGAATATTTTGACTTTAAGGATATCAATATATAATTTTTATTATGCAAAAATATAAATGAATACCTTTTCAAAAAATAATAATAAGATATACTTAGTAAAAAGCTTCTTCAGATGAATATTGATTCTACCAACTTATTAATTGCAAATAACAATGAAGATGCTTAATCTTCTATTAATAAACCTACATTTCCTAAATATCATGATGATCATATTTATGCGACTAATATATCATCCTTAAGAAGGAAATTTATTTATCAACAGAAATATATTCAAAACTTACGAAAAAAGATAAGAGCTTCTTCTGATAGAGCAAATAGACGAAATAAAAAAATTTACAATTTACAATCTTAGATAAATGGCGAAGGGGAAAATGTTATAGAAGATTTTTTTTCAGGCCTACCTTTATCATTTATTAAAACTCAAGTTCATAGTGGGGGAGTAAAAAATAAAATATAGTAGTGAAATGAAGCAATTTGCATCAACACTACCTTTTTACTCCCCCAAGGCTTATAATTATCTTAGAAATCAATTCTGTTTGCCTGCAGAGTCTACACTAAGAATCTGGAGTCAGCAAATACAAATAAGGCCAGGTTTAAATTAAATATTTTATATAAAATAATTTTATTTAAGGTTTTTTAGATTCTTCCTTAAAACGGATTAAAACATTTCAATCAAATTCGCATGTACAATTATATACTATTTTAAATCTTGATGAAAAGTCTATTCGGCGACATAATAATTGGGATAAAAAAGAATTTCATGGATACATCGATTTTGGTAATGGAATAAAACCTTCCGAATCTATACCTGAGGCAAGTAAAGCATTATTTCTTATGGCAACTTGTTTAAATGGTACATGGAAAATTCCATTAGGATATTTTTAGTTGCCTATTTGAGTTCTGAGACTTTATCAAACATAGTAACAAATACCCTCCATTTATTGCATGATACTGGGGTTATATGTAAGGCAATAGTATGTGATGGTCTTTCAACAAATATAAAAATGTGTCAATTACTTGGTGCCTCTTTGGACCCAAATAATTGTATTCCTTATTTTCTTCATCCGAGCAATTATAAGGAAAAAGTTTGTTATTTTGGACGTTTGCCATATGATGAAACTCCTTAGAAATCTACTCGGCGATAAAAAAATTTTAATCAATAATGGAGTAGTAATTACTTTTAAAATATTTCCTAAATGTTATTTTTACAAATAGGTAATAAATTGGAAATATATAGCAAACCTTCATGATTTACAGGATAAGGAAGGACTAAGGGCTGCAAATAAAATTGGCCGTTCTCATATTGATTATCATAAGCAGATAATGAAGGTAAAATAAAAAAAATTTTTTACTTTTAAAATATTTTTTTAAAGGTTAAACTTGCCGTTCAAGTTTTTAGTAGCTCAGTAGCAAAAGGTATTCTTTTAGCACATGAGCTAAAAATTGATGGGTTTAAAACTATGAAGGCACAGTAGACTTTATTCAAATGATTGATCTGTATTAAATAAATACCTTGATAATATTAATAATATTTTTATAGAATGTTTGATTTTTTAAATACTCGAAACATATGTGCTAAAGGGTTTAAGGCCCCACTATCTAAAAGATCTCTTCCATAAATGAAGATTATTTTGAAAAATGTATCAATACTCTTAAAGCTTTAAAGTTTGAAGATGGGAAATATGTATATGAATCAAATAGAAAAACATGCATTATAGGGTTAATAGCATCAATGAAAAGTATTCTGGGTATTGGGAATGAATTATTGGGACCTAATCCCAAGCTCAAGTATTTTATATATTTTTCTTATTTATTTTCATATATTTTTATACCTCTTAATACTAACCATAATTATTATTAATTTTTTTTTCTTTTCATATTTTAGTTACTTTTTAACCTACAAAACCTCACAAGATCATCTTGAACTATTTTTTAGTTGTTTACACAGCAGAGGAGGTTTTAACAATAATCCTTCTGCTTATCAGTTACGATCGGCCATAAGAGATGTCTTGGTAGCAAAACTGGAAGTGATAACAACAGGTAATTGTATTCCAATCGATAATACTAATCTAATATGTGGAGATTTTCAGAAAAATGCTGACAATAACAACCATATTAATCTTTATGAAAATTTGTTAACATTTGTTCTTATTCCGACATTATTACTCTACCTATAGTCAAAAATAATTCGATTCGATTCGAATAATTCGATTCGAATAATTCGAATCTAATCGAATAATTACGAATACGAATAATAAATTATTTGTTTTATCTGAATACGAATAATCATTTATTCGATTCGAATAAAACGAATTATTCGAATAAAACGAATTATTCGTAATATTTAATAAATTGTTTAATAAATCTAACATTTATCATAGGAAGAATGGGAGGATCTTATAAAAATTAAAACTATACTATTGCCTTTATATGAAACTACAAATATGGTATGTGGGGAGAATTATCCTACTTATAATTTGGTTATACCTTATTATATTTTAATTCTTGAACATCTAAAAAATGAAAAACCTGGTTTCCATAAATCCTTTAACAATAGTTTCAAAGTTGCAGTGATAAATTGTTGGGCTATTATAAATTAACTGCCGATTATGCAATAATAACCACAATATTAGATCCTAGGCTTAAAGTAGAATATTTTTAATCAATATCTGTTGATAATGATATTGATATATCCAAGTTAATGGACAAATTTAAAGAGATTTACAATAGGTATACAGGTATTTAATTTACCCCCATTTAAATATGATTTTATTTTATAAGCTCATAATTATAACTCTCAAACAAATAAGGATAAAATTCAACAAAACAGGCTATAAATTGTTTTTAAACAAAATAATATTCAACTGTGTGAAATAGATTTTTATCTGAGTGAACCAAGAGCAAAGAGTGATACTGACCCGTTAATGTGGTGGAAGGCAAATGCATATCGGATCCCCATACTCTCGAAAATGGCAAGGGATTATCTATCTATAAAAGGAATATTAACTGCTTGTGAAATACTTTTCTCAGTTGGAACTAATTTATTGTCAAAAAACCGCATGTCATATAAGGAAGAAAATATAAGAAAAACTCTTTGCCTTAAAAATTGGCTTAAATTATAAATTAAATTAATAATATATATTTTAATTTTGTTTATAACTTGATTATATATTATTTATTATCAGATTATTGATTACATATTATTATAATTTTTCCTGTTTAAAATCAAATTTGTAATAAAAAAATTTGTCAATATATTTGAGTATGATTTATTTTATTAAAAAAATTAATTCGAATCGAATACAAATAGTAGATTTTATTATTCGTACGAATTCAAATAGTAAATTATTCGATTCGTTTAAACGAATCGAATATGAATAATGCACTATTCGATTCGAATTCGTTTTTGAATAGGCCTACTCTACCTTGAAAATTTATCAACTTATATAGCAGGGTATATAATACACAAATTAATATCTTTAAAAAAAAGTAACATGTTATACATGCATAACAGCTATGATGGATAATCAAAATCATAAAAATAGTGATGCTTATAATTTGATAAAAAATAAAATACAATCAGGGGTTAATAATTCCTTCTAATAGTGTTTCAATATTATACCAAATTTCTGAAAGTGCATTCCGTGTTTTTGAAAAATCATTGCAAATAAAAAAAAAATTATTTTCAAAAGGATTGTATCATTTATTCTTTCTAAAGTACATCAAACAAATTTTTTTGATGAACTTATTGATCATATGCTTAATCAAGAAGCACTATTCTCCCATTATCAAATTCTAATTACATTAATAATTGAACGTTATTTGCACATTCGATTTCATCATTATGGTAATAATCAAAATCGAATATCAATATTCGTCAGAAATTGACTATAATGGCCAATGAATAAATTGTATAGTGTGTCTGAATTAAGATTCCTTTTTTTAAATTTAATATTGATGATTTATATCATGATCATATATTTTTAAATGTTGATATTATATTTTGTTAAGAAAATTTATTATATCTTATAAAATATTTATAAATTTTCTGTAACTTTAATTTTATAATAAAATTTATTTCATTCTTACACATTTTTAATTAGGTTATGCTTATGATTTTGTAAGAAATACATATGAGAATATGTTAAAATAAATAAATACTGATACGAACACATAATAATAAAAGCCATATTAGAAAATGAAACCAATTTTAAAAAATAAAATATTACAAACAAGGAATGATAAAAACAATAAATATTGAAAATTAATACCAAGAGATAAGATTATATATGGGAATAGGATATCCTAATAAAAGTAAAAATATTTTTAACATTCTCAATAACTGCGATAGGGTTGCTAAATGTTAAGGTTTAATAGTTATTAAGATCTAATCATATAGCTCCATAAAATATTAAATTCATAAGTTTATTTCTTTAATTATAATAAATATTATGAATAATATAAAAATCATTTTAATCATAAAAATTAATAACTTTATTAGATATTATATATTTTTTATTAAAATACAAGATTTATTATTATTTATATAAGTAATAATAATTGATAGGATATTTTTGAAGTTATTGCATTATTTTATAATAATAATATGTTACCATAAGAAATAAAGCTTTGCTAGTTCAGATATAAATTCAGAATGTTCTATTCCATTTCCAAAATCTATACATCCACGAAACTCATTTTTATACCAATGAATAAGTCGCTGTATATACATTTCATCAAGGCTTAAAATAATAAATAATTGTACATGCGAATTGGATTGAATTGTTAATCCTTTTAAAGGAAGAATTTAAAAAACCTAAAATAAAATAATTTTAAAGTTATAAAAATAAGTTTATTTCTAACCTAGCCTTATTTGTATTTGTTGACTCCAAATTCTTAAGAATTATAAAACATCCTACTGAGCAAAATTTTAAAACTAATTAAAATAATCCAGCCATGCAAAGCAATGATATAAATTGGGCCAAGCACAAGTTCATAAGTAAATAAAACTCTTAATTTCTTAAGTTTTTATAAATCTAAATGTAATTTATATGAAACCCACAAAATTTTCTAGCTACCTAAATAATATATATTAATACGTCTAAACAATATATATTATATTTTAACATAGTAAATTATTCTAATACTATTTTTTTTGTATGATCATATTGTAAAATTTTTGTAACTCTTATTTTCAGAACACAACAATATATTCAAATTAATTAAAAATGTGATAATAAAATTTAGTGATAAATAAAAATGTTTATATTTGTTAAAAATAGGTGGAGGTGGCATAGGGATTGTGGTAGTCAGTGGCGTCACTAGGGGGGGGGGGGCGCAGGGGTTCAAACCCCCTGAAAAATTTGAATAGCTTCCTGAAGCAAAAAAAATTATTTTTTTTAATGGTTCCTTAATATCCCCTTAAACTAAAAAGAATTTTTTTTGATTGTCCCCTATTTATTATAATTCTATTAAGTAATATATAGATTTAATTTTATTATTTAAAAATTAATAAGACTATCTAAATTTTATTAGATTAGATTAATACATATAAATTATATTTTCACTATGTCAGCTTGCAATCAAATTCTTTGTTAAAAATAAAATATCAATACCATGCATAATGTTTAAATATCAATTTAGCATTAACAGTTGAAATTTAATTGATTTTTATTAATTAAATTATTATATAACCCTAATTAAATAAATATAAAGATTTATTAATTGAAAATTAACAAATTTAATATTGTAAGCCGAGTTTAAAATCACTATTTAAATAAAATGACTTTGCGATTTAAAAATTTAAGCATTAAAGACTTTATGAAAAAAACTAAAGATAAAAGTAGCAATAATCTTGAGGACCAAAGAAGAGGATTCAATAATAAAGCTGGTGATGAACAAAGTATATTTTATACAGTTTTTAAAATTCAAACTTTGATTAAGTTGAAAGACGATTAATTGTAGTTTTAAAAGATATAAATATTGAAAACAAAAATGTTAAAAGAAAGAAAATAGGTAAATAAATTTATATATAAGTCTGTGTCCAAAATGTTTTGAAAAAATCCTTAAAATTTTCACAAATTAATAACAAAACACTTTGGACATTTAAGTTTTAAAAAATAAAAATTTATTAGTTAATTATCTATTTTAATGAAAGGTTTCTTTTTCACTTCATAATTGAAGTTATATGTTTTTCCTATTTCCTCTCAAATTTGCCTAATTTCTATAGAATTTCTATTTAAGTCATTTTTCACCAGAGTATTAAACAATATTGATTTCTTTAGTTTTCAAGTTAAGCGAAAATTGCTTTACAATATATTTTCACCTTTCAGGAGCAGGACACTAGAAATGGAAATTTTTTTTAAAATTTTTCTATTATAATCACATAAGGTGATGTCAAAATATTAGCTAAATAAAACATAGTAAATATTTTCTATATAAATAGTCAATATCTTAAAAAATCATACACTATTATTCTTTTTACATTAATAAAGATAATATTGGCTAAATTGTTTACTCAATCATTCTTTCATAATTTGATAATTATATATTTATTTGTTTATCCTAACTTAATAATAAACTATATAATGCTAAATAAATTTAGAATAGTTTGCTTATTTATATATATTTTTGAAAAATGGACACTATAATATGGAATATTACTTTTTATATATTATATTTACAAAAATTAATACACTGAAAAGAAATACATAATTAATCTTATTTAGATTCATTGAATAATGAAGAAAGTATTGTGAATGACATGATTGTAAATAATGTAAGTACAGAAGGAAAGAAAATAGGTAAAAAATTAATTTATGATCAACTGTCCAGTAGTTTATATAGGATTAAAAATGGAAGATAATCTTTTAGAAATTTAATATCTCACAATAATTTTCTCGATTACTTATCTAGCTTCCATCATGTCATCTAAGAGGAAGCTCTAACCACCATATAGTTTTATGATTTGGATTGGTCGTTTATATTCTCTTCTTCAAGAATTGTTGATTTGGTTAGGCCTATAAATTTTTCCTTATTAGTCCTTTCTATAAAACTTTGTCTAAAATGGTAAGAGAGAGCTATATTAGTTTCATGACCTTTTGTTAATGTTAGTTGCTTATAATTATATTGCCTTATGGGGTTTTTAAAAACATTAAAAATTGAGGCATATGTATGAATTAATTAATCGGTTTTATCACTTGTAATTCTTTAGACGCGAAATTTTTTATATCAGCAATTTAAAATACTTTATACTGTAGTAAATCGATTTTGTATTGAAAAATTTGTAGAAATGTATTGTTTTAATTATTTATATTCTAGTTTTAATTATTTATATTCTAGTCTTAATTATTTATATTCTAGTCTTAATGATATTTATATTCTAGTCTTAATGATATTTATATTCTAGTCTTAATGATATATATATCAGAGACCTGCAGAGCCACCATTTGCACGGCCCGGCCCGGTTTTAAATTTTTTAGGCCCGGCCCGGATATTTAAAAAAAAATTTTTTACGGCCCGGCCCGGATTTAAAAATTTAAGGCCCGGCCCGGCCCGGATTTAAAAATTTAAGGCCCGGCCCGGATATTTAAAAAAAAAATTTCAGGCCCGGCTCGGAATTTTTTAAAATTATATTCGACCTGGTATATACAAAAATTCACCTATGAGGTATTTTACCAAATTTTTCAGCGAGTATTATCGCTTATTATTTAAAAAATACATGAAAAAAGCTAATATTTTGAGAATATTATATTGAATTTATAAAAATTATAAAACTGTTATTTATAAAAATGGATATTTTGAGCATATACTATATTTTTTGCATTTATAAAAATAAAACTAATATTCATAAAAATGGTAATAATATTTTGAGCATATACTATATTTTATATTGCATTTAAAAAAAATAAAACTAATATTTAATTTATAAAAATGGAAAATATTTTGAGAATATAATATATTGTATTTAATTTACTATTTAATTTATAAAATAAAAATAAATCGCTATTTAAAAAAATGCATGTATAATAAATAGTATTTTGAAAATATAATCTAATTGCACAATATTAATATAATTTATTTTATAATTTTTAAATATTTTATA